GTACAAGATAAGATCTACTTTACACGGTCGATATACGATTTTTATTTGTATTTGTATATATACAAGGAATTCTACAATCTTATGACAAATCGCCACAAAAAAGTAGGCGAATTTGTCAGAACTTCTTTAGACACTCTATGTATTACATCATCATCAACATCCATTAAAGGCAATGCCTTGTCGTTGAAATATATATATTTATTAGTATACCATATGCATTTAACTATATTGATTAACATTTATTATAATCTCAATAAAAAAAGTGCCCTGAGGCAATATAACAAAAAAGTTAAAAAACGTATATTTTATAATCTTAATCAAGCTTAGGATTTTAAACAGAAACAGCGCCAATCTTATTACACATGTGCCTTTTACAACGATTCTTTATTACAAATATTGAGTTCATTATGTTTAATGCTCGCAAAAAAAAAAAAATAGAATTGTAATAGCCGTAAAATCAGTATACTTAATTGTTTAACGTTATCATAACGTTAAACAATAAAAGTTTAAACATTTTAAAACTTAAAAAATAACTTTTTTTACTTCAATTTTATTACTATTATTAATAATATTAGAAAAAATAAATTATATGAACGTTTAAACGCTTAATTATTGTTCTAGTAAAATCGGTTATGATAACAATTATAATAAAATTAACAACAATGTGTATTGATCAAGTAATAACTTTGACCGATTACTTTAAAAAGAATAGCAGATAATAATAATTAATTTTTATTAAAATATTTTCAGTAGACAGTTATCTATTCAATGGTATAGTTTTCAATGTGCAACTCTATGAATATATATATATATATATGTGTGTGTGTACTTGTTTATAATTCTGTTAGGAAAAAAATTATGTGAGTATTGATAATGAATTACATTGAATATGATGTAAGTAAATGTTTTTAGTTTTATATAAGGGTGTACAATAAAACGTCATTAATATATTATTAAACACTATCCTTATGCAGTATAGTGTATTTCTAAAACAGCAAACATTCAATTTTTGTAATAGTTTCGTCACAGTGTGAAATTACAATGATAAAAATGGTGATACTTTTTTTAATCATATTTGATTTTGCTTATTATATGAGAACAAATACATTTACAAAAATGAATTATACTTGTTAATACACTTTAATATGTGTATAATATACCTCCAATAAAAAAATTTTAATTTTCTAAAATTAAAAATATGGTTTTTGGCCACCTTTTTTAATATTGATAAAACGATTTTCTAGGATTTAGAAAAAAATATCGTTATGTTTGCGAATTTTTTTGGAAGTAATTTATAGTATATTTACCAAAAAATGACAAATTTTCGAAAATAATTTTAATTTTAACACATTTATTTTCTATAAATCATATTTATACCTTTTTTTACAAGAATATAATATTGCGGTTTGCCGACGTAATTTCCCCTTTAAAATATTTTAACACTAATTTTTTTTTTCTTTAATTATTCGATCGACTAATTAAAAAATGTATAAAATATCCAAAATTTCTTTTAATTGAAGAAGACAAAGATGATTCAGTTTTAAGCATTGGCTAAATTATGTGTTTTGTGTATTTTAAAAAACTTTTTTTTGCACATAGAGCATTTCCTACATTTACTTTTCCAATGTTTATGGATTTAGAAATTTGAATAAGCTTTAGAATAGAAAAAAAAAAGCACATATAAGGTGTAGATATGGAAACTAATTTCTATTGTTCTTAGTTTTTGTAACAATTAACCTGTTTCCATACTTTTTCAACGATCTGTATGATTTAACTTTTAATAAAATTACCATTTTGTTTATGGCTTTATCATTTGATAATATCATAGAAGTTACTGATGTAATTATTTAAACAAGATAAAAAAATCATATCAACTGGTTTTTTGGTTAATAAGCAAATTTTAAAGTACAATAAAATCGTGCTCAAGTCTGTAAAAATATTTTAAAATACATAAGGCACATACAGCGTTGTAGGTCATTTACCTGAATAACTGTTAGTGTAAAAAAAGAAGCCACCCAGAAACCACTAATTCACCGTTTTCTCTTTATTTTTTTCAACATCGACAGAAATAGGACAAAAAATATGTTGTTAGTAAGGAAATCTAACTACCTAAGGCGAACCTAGAGTGATTAAAATAATTGTAATAGTACAAAAGTCACTCGTTTAAAATTTTATAACCTGAGTAATGGTCTAAGAAAAATTAAACAAATAACCTTTATTTTTCAAAACTTAAAAACGCTATGCAATAAAATTTTAATAAAAAAATAATCTCTGTTTCCAACACCAGTTAACACGGCTGGTTAAAGAAAGTGTACCGGAAATCGTGCGATAAAAAGAGTCACGGTATAAAACCCGCGACCCAAGGCATCGTAGAGACAAACCTTACCACTAGGCTTATAGGTGCTGTTAAAGGTTGATAACGTGAAAAGCGGCTGAGGGAATCACGGTAACACGTCATTGTTAAAACTAAAACTTCTAATTAAAACTATTTTGTTATGTGATACTGATTAAAGTAATATAGTTCTATCTAAATCATGATAAGTATCTTTAAAGTAAAATATAAATCAAATATCAAAGCGTATTCAGCAAATCACTTGTAATATCTTCTTTATAATAAAAAATATCATTATATAATTGTTGGATACATATCGATCGAATATGCTGTCAAGAAAATTTGTTTTTGACTATTCGTGTTATCGTTGTGTTACATCGAGTTGTTGTCGGTTGTCTCTCTATGTTACCATTGCGCAGCCATCTTAACGCTTCTTCTGTTATAAGCTCTATGGCGTTTGAGAGCTAGTAGTTTTTGTATTCGTTTTACTGTAAAAAGAAAATATCACCTTTGCGATTTTCGTACCCTGTGCGCTCAGTTTTATCGCCGTTGGGTCTATATATTTTCTGAGATACATCACAATACCTTTGACAGCTTATTGTACACTTTGGTCAACAACCTGCATTCGACAATTGATCCTTTCAATATTCAGCATTATCATCAGCCGTCTTCATTTAGCAGATAAGTATAATGCTTGTTCATTTATCTTTCTAAGACTCACCTGAATAATTTATTATTTATTTATATCATCTCCTTTGTGGCATTAGTATTAAGTGTCCCCCCTATCCACATTGGTGTATATAAAATTTTATATTTTTTATATAATACATTTAATTTTTATAATTATATCTTGTGAAATTCATTCAACATTCAAACATACAGTCCACTCATCTTATTCTTTATCCTCGACATAGCTAAAACTTAAGACAAAACAAAACCACGAACGTTGACGAACCCGCGTGAATACCACCGGGCGCTGCGTTCATACAATAATAATAAATAATATATCAATAATAACACAATTACCATACGTAAATCTAAATACACCATCATATTTAACGTTGAAAAATACATAAAATTTTATTATTTTAATCATTGTATTATATCATTACTCAATTACTTCAAAATAGAATAGTGCTGGGAAATTATATAAATAAAAATAGTATTTGTTGCGAATTTTTAAGATTTTCCTATATTTTTTATATTTACTGCAATTTTTACACTTTTTATTTAATCAAAATGTATAAAGTTAATATATTTTAAATCATTATAAAATATAATCTATTTGTTGAATTAAGTTTCTATTAGTTCAACTAAAAAAAGTTATACTCAAACTTATTGATTTAAAATGACACTCTAACTTTAAAAGTCCAAAACGTCGGATAAACTTCATAAAGCCGTCCCATATTTTACACCTAGTATTAAACACCATGAAATCAATTAAGAAAAGTTAAAAATAAATAAAAAATGTTACATTTATTACTGACGATTGTATTCTATAATTATCATTTAATTACTAATTAGTCCTTATCTCAAAAACTAAATGTTATAGAAATGTAGCCAAATTTAGAATCAGGACCGAAAGGAGAATTCCTTATAAAATTCATATACAAATTGCAAACAATATAACATTATTGTTATTATTTAAAAATAAATAATCAAATAAAAATAGGCACAAACATTTTACTAGAAATAAAGATATATTTTGTATTTTATAACTTCATATTTATATGTTTACTTTGTTTTTCTAATAAAAATAAACGCATCTAAAAAAATTGTTATCAGTGTAAAATAATATTTGAATGAAATCTTTTTGTTGCAAAAATATCACAGAGGTATTCAGATATACCTTAGTAGTTAACAATTAACCCTATGAACGAAACATTCTGGAACAGATTTTGAAACTATATTTTAGTATTCAGATTGTATGGTACAGAACGCCTTTAGAAGGATCTAGTTGACCAGTTGTTAGAAAGATCATCGATTATATTATTTCGTGGGACAGCTGATCACCAGCATCTTGCTTTACTCACCCCCTTGCCCACCCTTCACAGCAAATCGATGACCTCCGTGTCGGTTTTCATCCATGTACAGTTCATTGTCATAAGTCAGTCAGTCGTTTTGTTTTACGTGTCATTTTTTTTCTGTTGCAAGCGCCTTCGCTTGTATAGTAAATTGTTCGGCCGTTGTACGCCATGGTTTCTTATTATTTATTTATTGCACCCTTGTGCTCAAAGTTTACGTGCCCTTGCAAGCCACTAGTGATTAGGCCCTGACCATCACTAAACATTATCATTGCCGTATTCTGTTCTCATCTGCCATTACATGCCTGGATTTACACTCTGACTCTTCATACTAAGATGTTCGACACCATTACCACAAGATCTCATACAGCCCACTCATCAACATCAACAACGCCATCTATACAGCTGAGTTTTATATTATTTTTAATGTTACTTATTGTTTATTTTAATTGAATACTTAAATGTATTTATTGTGTTTTTTTTTAATTGTATTTTTAGATGTTTATCTATTTGATACTTTCGAAGATAATTTTTCATAATTGTCATCATTATTAACATCGTAATCATTTGATTTGTACGATTGCTCTTGCTTTTCTAATTTTTTTTTAATAATTCCATACGATGTTGAAAATATTCACCAGAAATATTGTACGTTGTTGTGTCCTAAAAACATGATAACATTTTTATTGAATCTATTTAAAAAATTAAGTATTACAAAATTGTATTAAACACATACTTGCTGAATTTTAGATATACTATATTTAGTTTCAGCATTGGGTTGTTTACAACTGTGTTCCTTAACAACATCTTTTAATTTTCAACTCATTTTATGTACTTTTTTGGTAACTGTTTCTAATTTTTGTTCTTTTAATTTTAAACAGTTTTGCACATGTTTTATTGAATTTTTGCTCATGCAAATTTCATTCTTTAACTCATCATTTTCAAACTTCAAAGATGTATTTAAATCACTCAGCTCTTTAATTGTTATGTCTATACATCTTAATTTTTCATTCAATTCTTGGATCTTGCATTTACATTTGTGGTTCTCCTCATAGAGTATTTCGTTTCTTGATTCCAGTGTTTTGATTTTTTGCCATTCTGCCTCGTAATCATCCATAAAAGTGATTAACATTAATGCATTATTTTGTGTTTGTGTTTTGATTATACAATTCAGTTTATTAATCTCTTTTTGCATTAGGTCATTTTTATTATCATGTTCACACATACTCATATCCATATCATGAAGCTTATTTTCCAATTCAATAATACGATTTTTCAGTTGAAAATCTCTTGAAGTGTATATATATTTATAATTTAAAATTTAGAATTGTGAAATTTATTTATTAAACATTCAGTTCATTTTTAATAGCAAAATTTGTTTTTCTTTTTGATATGTTATTATTATAATAGCTGGGTATGGAAAAAAAATGATATCAAATATTATGATTTGAAATATTTTTCTTATAGTTTTTTTTAGGGTAATTAAGTGTTAAGTACTTTTAAAATAAAGTGATTTTATAATTATTAATTTATTAAGTTATGACTAGCTGAGGCTCCACCCCAGACCCTAGACTCTACTAACCTCATGCGCCTTCAACGCGTAAGCCTTTTTGTGCTGTACTTATAAGTTGGTCATTTATTCAGGCAAAAGTACCCGGCTACGTGATTGTTGGTTCTTAATTTTTCATTCAATTCTTGGATCTTGCATTTACATTTGTGGTTCTCCTCATAGAGTATTTCGTTTCTTGATTCCAGTGTTTTGATTTTTTGCCATTCTGCCTCGTAATCATCCATAAAAGTGATTAACATTAATGCATTATTTTGTGTTTGTGTTTTGATTATACAATTCAGTTTATTAATCTCTTTTTGCATTAGGTCATTTTTATTATCATGTTCACACATACTCATATCCATATCATGAAGCTTATTTTCCAATTCAATAATACGATTTTTCAGTTGAAAATCTCTTGAAGTGTATATATATTTATAATTTAAAATTTAGAATTGTGAAATTTATTTATTAAACATTCAGTTCATTTTTAATAGCAAAATTTGTTTTTCTTTTTGATATGTTATTATTATAATAGCTGGGTATGGAAAAAAAATGATATCAAATATTATGATTTGAAATATTTTTCTTATAGTTTTTTTTAGGGTAATTAAGTGTTAAGTACTTTTAAAATAAAGTGATTTTATAATTATTAATTTATTAAGTTATGACTAGCTGAGGCTCCACCCCAGACCCTAGACCCTACTAACCTCATGCGCCTTCAACGCGTAAGCCTTTTTGTGCTGTACTTATAAGTTGGTCATTTATTCAGGCAAAAGTACCCGGCTACGTGATTGTTGGTTCTTAATTTTTCATTCAATTCTTGGATCTTGCATTTACATTTGTGGTTCTCCTCATAGAGTATTTCGTTTCTTGATTCCAGTGTTTTGATTTTTTGCCTTGCTGCCTCGTAATGATCCATAAAAGTGTTTAACATTGATGCATTATTTTGTGTTTGTGTTTTGATTATACAATTCAGTTTATTAATCTCTTTTTGCATTAGGTCATTTTTATTATCATGTTCACACATACTCATATCCATATCATGAAGCTTATTTTCCAATTCAATAATACGATTTTTCAGTTGAAAATCTCTTGAAGTGACAAATTTGTATAACGGACTCTTTTCGTGTGTTTATAACAATAAATCCCTTTATATAACATATTATTATCTTATAGAATAGCCATTACTTATATAATTACAATTGATACTAATAAAGCGAGCCAGTTAATATTTTTAAATAAATTATTTCTTTATAAAATCAATTCGACATGCACGCTTAATATATACAAGTTAACTAAGTTGTTACAGCAGCAGAAATCGTGGTCTTTTAAACAGCCGTTATTACGGCTACCCTTATTATAGTATAATTTATATAAAACAATTGTCCCGCAACTAAGGCGCAAGTCAGCCTAAATTAAAATACCCTATTGTGTGTATTTCTTCTTTTTTTTTATACATAATAAATGGACACTGAATTTTATGAGATGGTCACTGTGTATGTTTCGCAAATATTTTACTGTATACATTAGTACTATTATCGAGCATGCTTAACTTAATTTAAGACACCTATTGTAAATGTATGCAAGTTTTTGACAACGTTTTGGCTACATACATTAGGTTAACTTAGCTTATTATTTTTATTGTCATAAATAACATTAAATTATTATTATTTTTTTTTAATTCATGAACATATATCATTTATTGTGCATGCATTGCTTATAATTGTATTCGGTACCCCAACATCCCCTTTTAATTATTAAATTATTTTTAATAATAAGCGTTAGTGTTCTGAACAGACCTCGAGAACACGGAGAATACTCTTTGGACTATTCAAGAAGTCGACGACAGGGCCGGGCTTTTCATAGGAACCGCTTGGTAGCCGACTATTGAGAACCCACACGAAGGAAGCTCCTCCAACGCTCAAAAGCTTGTGAATTAAGGAGTGTGGACATCGAAGACCCAGAGGTTCTCATTACGACACTAATGTCCCTCCAAATTTTTTATTTTAAATATTTTTTCTTTTCCTACGTAGCATTATTTTGCCAAAGTTATTTTGTTTTTTTATTATGGTCTAGGGTCAGACCTTAAGTGTAAGGGGAGCAGCTGATACGATCACATTTGCATGTGCCCATATCTCTGTCTCCCATAACATAATTGTACCGTTTAATGTATATATATATAATTAACACAGTGACATACAACAATACTAACAGGAGGGCGGACTGCACACATAAACACTTTTGCAATTCACGGCCTTAATACGATATCCCTATCAACAGTTGACATTTTACTATCTTCGGGATCACTACTTTATTCTGATAATTAACTTAACTTTGCTACCCCGTATATTGTGTGTGTGTGTGTCGCCGTCAGCTCCCTGTTGGATTATATCATCTCTAGGTGTCCAGCAGGTTGTATTATCTATTTTTATTTATTATCAATTGCTTAATAAATATTTATTTATATCGTTGTTAACCTAAAGTGTTATATATATATATTGTAGTGCGACCNTGTTAACCTAAAGTGTTATATATATATATTGTAGTGCGACCTTTGGTAGTTCCTCTAAGGGAATATAAATAAAATAGGGAACTTCAGTACATAAGGTAGATATAGCCTAGTCAGCTATCTCCCGTTGGTCCCTTAGAATACTGTCGACGGGCATTTAGGCTAAACTCCTAAATAGCGACGTAACACTATCATTTTTTACAAATTAAGGGCCAAAATATACACGTACGAAAAAATGAGCCAGCACCCTAATTTAAATCACGCGCGTGGACTTGAAATGAAAAAAAACTCGTAAAATGGTAAAAATTGAACAGACTGAATATATAAATTCATATATAAACAAATAATTTCTCTGTCATTACATTTACACTACTGCACACAATTTTTTATTGTTAAAAATGAATCTACTCAAAATAAGGTATTAAACTTATGAGGCTTTAAACATTTTTACAATCCGTCAGACAAACCATCGTCTTGTATTTTGGTTAATGATAAAATAAATATATCAAAAATCTAAAACCCAAAGAGATATTTAATTTCGCTAGAACTCTTTGAGCATATATGGGTGTGGCCTAATATGATACATACAGAGTGGCCCACCACTCACTGACAACTTAAATAACTTTTGATCCAGTTAATATTTTTAGCTGATTTTTTTTTTAAATATTAGTTAGACGTTAGGTCTATAGCTATATCTCAATAATTAATTTTTTTACATTTTATTAAAAATATTAATTATTTTTAAATTTTAAATAAAATGTAAAAAAAAAATCTAAGATAGCTATTTTGTAGAGTAGAATTTAAGAAAAATTTTAGTAAAAAAATATCTTATTAATATTCA